TCCTTCATTACTAGCCGGAGTCACTTTGAGATATTATTTTCAATTTGTTCTCCTTTTTTTACCAAATTGATGGAAAATCTTCATTAATGCTTAAAATTAATTTATTTAAATGGTTTAATAAATTCAATATTGTTTGAAGAATAATTTTACTAAATATTACATTTTTCTTTCTTGGTTTTAAAAATTAAGTAATCAAAAGCATAATTATTGTATGATATTAACAATGATTGATGCGACAATGAATGTAATAAAATTTAATAAGGACAAATCATCTTTTTTACGACATTGATATTAAAATTATGTAGAAAAATATAAAATTATGTGTGTTTTGCTGAATTTTGGAATCTGTCGAAACACATGTGAAGCATAATTATATAACTGCCGTTTAAGATTCTGTATCATCTCCCCTGTTTACGAACAATTTGAGCAACCTCAAGTTAGGTACAAGCAGGGAAAAAATAATGATTTTTTCGTGAAATTAAATTTTTATGGCATTGGCTTGCCAAAATCATTAATATGCAAAAAAAGGCGAGAACTCACGTGCACGGCGTGTGTTAACGAATTTGTTAACAGAAAATTTTAGCGGTCTGTGGGTAAATTATGCAACCGGCGCGACCGACGTGTTGTGCCTGTATGCATAATTATTACCCAGGCAACAACTCTGATAAAATCGCTCGCTCCAGCGTGAGTGAAATGTCCAATTTCAACGCAAATATCATTAATCACAGCTTTCGAAATGAATATCAAAACTGACATACTCACTGGCTCGTCGAGTGTCGTTAATTGCGTCATTAGGGAAATTTTCCAATAATTTTTTGAACTATTAATCATCTCCTAATTTTTGAAAATTGAGATAAATTATAGGTTTTAGGTTAAATCAAACTTTAAAATTTTCCTTTAAAAAATTCGTCACAAATCTTCTTGTGATTTTCACCCGTCTATGAGCATCAGTTTGAAAGTTGTCAATTGCCTAGTAATTAATTCGTCTGTGCCTGATATGTGGCTACCGAAAGGATTAAATCTTAAATGTCAAAGGCTGACAATGAAGTAGCTGTTGAAATTCTGCACGCAGAGAAGAGACAAAGGAACTGCGAAATTCGCGTTGAATCGTGTACACAAACACACACGTGGTAAAAACACAAACAACAGCTGTTAACAAACATGGAAATTGACTGAAGGAAGGAAGGCAGGGAACTTCAGGCGAGGATTTTGGGACACAAAGACGTGCGCACGACGATTACTTCTTCGCCTCTGACTCTCTCACAGAACATCGCGCACAAAGAGCAAAGGAAACGCGATTACACAAGCAAAGATAAACGCAAAAGCTCGAGTACGCTCGTGGAATTCTGCACTTCTTGCGCTTTTCAAAACTTTTGGGGTAAAGCTCTGGATTTAATTTATTTTGCAAAAGTTTTGCCTAAAATGTTCTCCTGTCAAATTCAGAGAAAGAGCAAACTTTGTTAGAAATAAAGCCTTAGAATCAAAACTTAAATTTTCACCTGGAATTTTAAATTATTTGTTCTGTTAAATCCAGCACTTTGGAAAACAAGCGCTCATGGAAAAAAATCAATGCGGTGGAACAATGAAAGGGGTAGCGACAGAAGATTATCGAGGCGGAAAAGCGGCATTGCAGTCAATATTGCCTGAGGTGAGTGCCGTTGAGGCTGACGGCGCTCGTCGGCCAAAGGTGCAGGACAAACAGACAAACACACGCTCGCTTGCCAATGAATGGGGACGGCCAACGGGGCGCGCGTGGTGACTAATGAGGCCTTTCTGCCGCAGACAGGACAGCTCATTAGCCGGCCTTTGCGGTCAATTCACACGCGAAAAAGAAGGATTTGCACCGGCCGGCGAATAAATCAGGCGTGCGATGCCTTGTTTTAAATAACCGTGTTTTCGCCGCGGGACCGCAGCTGACCCGAGGGAGATCGATTATTCATCCGGCGCAGCGGGACGAGATTGAATTGATTGTGAATTATCCTTATAAAAAAATGACAAAGAGACGGTATCACTTCCAATAGAAATAATTAAAATTGTTATATGGTTGTTTATAGTAATTATAAAATATTAATATAATAATTGCATATATACTAGCACTTTATGTTTTGTAGAAAAATCATACCATGATTGCTGGGTTTAGCGTAGTTCAATAAGTGTATAAAATATATTTGTTATTAAAAATAAGTGACATCTTCATACTTACTTAGAAGTAAAATATAAATGTAATAAATATGCAAAATTAAAAAAAAATTAAAATAAAATATAAATTATTAATAAATTACCAAAGATATTGAGTCTAGGTAAAATGCAGTTTTCATTATACTTTAAATTTTATAAATAAAAAAATTTTAATAACAGGTTTATTAAATATTTTTTGGAAATAATTTACTAGCTGATAATTTTCGAACATTTTTTATTAAAACTAGTAAAATAAATAAGTCAGCATTCCAAGAAATGCATTTTCATGTTGTTTTTCTATTGTTAGACACAGCAGTACTGTTGTGGTTGCACAGTTTTATAAATATTTATCTCATTTCTTTAATCTCATAGCTCAGACAAAGTAATTTTCAAAGAAAATAAATATGCAACAATATCATATTTTCTTTTGGCTCGCAGCGCTACATTTCACCGTCTTAATGAAACGACTTGTGTCTAGCAGGGACAATAGAATCTCTGATGAAAAATTCCTGTCCTGATTTTAATCTCTCGAATTCCGGCCTCTCATTGTTCCACAGCCAGACGCCGAAATTAAACACGTCGTGCGTGGCAAGGCAATTTTTCCTCGTCTCTTTAGAGAGGGCGAAAGTACGAAGCATTGTTTTCGAGCGCAGGTGCCAAGAAACGAGAATAGCCCGGCGAGGGTTTATCTGCAGATCCGCGGGAAGAAGAGAAAATACATCTGAAGGGCGATTTGCGCCGCGATTGAGGAGCGCGTAATTGAAAGGCGGCTCAAGTGGAGAGGTGCAAAAAGTAGTGCGTGAGGCGTTCGGGCCAAATGTCAACCGCGCACGACACGAGAACCACTTTCTGCTCTCTCTCGTCACTCTCTAGTATTGATTCGGAGCGACCGAGAGGTGATGTGTGAATGCGCGCTATTTATTCGTCCGCCGACGACGGAGCACCATAAATTCTGCAGTGCACAAGATCGATATCGTTATGCACCACTTTTTGAAATGCACCTGTGAGCAACCGCGCGCTTTTTTGTGTTGCACGTCACCAGCAATTATTGCGATAAGCGAGAGAGTGATTTATACACTTCGTTGCCTAGCTTTCAGCGAGCAAAATAAACTTGCCAGAGAGGACGTAATGCAACGTAAAGCAAGGAAATAAAGCAAAGAAAACCTTCCAGCAAATCTATGAAAGAAAATAAAGAGCAACAAAAGGACAATAAATTAAATAAATTACTCCACTTTTCACTTAAGGGGTTTCAATTAAATTTTTGATCTTCTGAAATTGGAAAACATTTCCGCTGGCAGAGGATGTAATATTTTTAATTAAAAGTTGAATTTTTAAAATGAAAATAAACTTTTTAAGACGCCTCAAATGTTGTCATAAAAAGTTTCTTCACATAATAAGTTAATATAATCTATTTTCCTCTAGAAATTCCCAAACTTTGAACTCTCTACAAGCAACTGGAAAAAAGCACATTAAATAAAAATTGCATCCCTCCAACTTCATTTTACAAGATAAATGCTTACCATTTTGCCAAAAATTACTTTCTTCTCAAGCTCGTGGTAATAAGTGCAATTTATTCTTGTGAAAAGTCACCGTGTATTAATATTCATTACTCCAGTTGTAATTTTGCCCTCAGAAACGGAATGGCCAATTTTGATTCCCATTTCCAGCCTCGTGAGCATTTTCTCGAAACGACGAGCGCGGCGGGAATTGCGTTTCGGAACCCGGGAAGGAAGCAGAAAAGGCAACCGGCCGAAAAGCACGTCATAAATCGCCGGCGTAATGTGTCACACGAAATAACTGCACGAGCCGCATCAGCAAAAGTGTAATAAGAGAGCGTCCGTTGCACGTGTCCCTTTTTATTGCTGCATCAAGTCTGATTATTACGCGCCGGCAAAGAAAACGGCGGCGGTGTTTCGCACCTTGTATGGAGCAGCTCGTCATAATTATTGCGGCCGAATCGCGCTCGCGGCAAAACCTGCTAGAAGCCCTCGTCGGCAGGAAAGACGAGGGGCACGTACTTCTTCAGCCAGAAAGGTACAAGAGTAGTGCGGGCGGCAATTTTAGCGAGCCTCCACCAGCATACCAATGGAGCAGGCAAATTAGAATGGACCCCGGGGAGTCAAAAAATGGCTTTTGCATGTGCCTCACTCCTTTCGGAACGAGTGGAAAAAAAACACCAACGAGTCGGTCCGGCGTCTTCTTTGCCGACTCTTGAGATTCGGATACGGGCCCACGTGGACTGCAAAGGGCAATTCAAGTTTTCCGATTTTCTTTATTTGCTGATTCTACGTATTCCTATCGTTGTTAGCAAAATTTCATATTATATTTACATTTCTAAAAGTGCAAAATATATTAATATTTTTAATCATTCGGTGATTCATTAAATTTATAAATCTCAATGAACCTCACAAAGTCAAGCTTTTATCATGAATTTCTGAAATTATAATGTTTTTATCATAATATTTAAGATACCATCCACTATTATAAATGATTAATCTATAGAGTTATTTATGATGATGAAATTCACAAGCAAAAATTTATACAATTTTGGTAATCATTTACTAAATTCTTCTTTCATAAAGTGGTTTTTTTAGTTATTAAAAAAAAAAACAATTTTCAAATGTAAAGAAAGTAAATATTAAAATTATTAAAATATAAATATTTGTAGTAAAGTTATAATATGAATAGTTTTGTACATAGTAATTTAAAAAAATAATTTTTTATTTTAAATTAACTTAAAAATAGTGTGTCGTGTAGAAGGGAAAGCGCTTTGTAGCTCCTTTCTGCTGACTGCGTGCGTACGTAATATCAAAAAGACTGACCTGCTTGGTATGTAAGGCGGCCTTCGGGCTCAGATTGGAAGCTTCTTCGTTTCTTGCCACACTGTAGGAGCTTATCTCGAGCGACTGGAAACAGAACGAAACCCTTTTTACATCGCATCAACACTCCCGGCTGCTTTCAAAGCGAATAGATTTGTAATCCCTGCAAAGGGCCAACATTTTTAATATTCGGTAGTGCTCCCTCCGCATTTCCGCCTACTTTGAAAAAAATTGCACAAATTCAGTTGGAATTCGCGTCACGCTTTCCATTTTACATCAAAGTGCGAGTAAAAAAATAACAACCTTAAAAGGCGGGTTGCAGCGAAATGCAGTCAATTACCTGCGACCGTCCGGTGGCAAGAGCGGAAGATGGAGTCGCAATAAAAATGAACCTTGCTGCGGCGGCAATAATTTTTAAGGGCTTATGTATCAGCGTCAATATTTTACAGCCATTCAACACGATTATATTGCTACACTTGCTTCGAAAGCCCCTGACCGACCGACCAACCGACCGTCGACTCTCCTCGGGGCGAGTACATTATTTATCGCACCCTCCAGCCAGCCCCTGAGCGAACGCGGCGCTATTGAGCCCGTGTGTTGTCCTACTAGTAATGTAGGCTTTACGATTTGCCGGCCGCAGCCCCCATAAAAGTTTTATCAAAAGTCCTTCTGAAGGCTGAATGATCGCCACTCTCTCTCTTTTATATAAGTTTGCAGTTATAGAAAGCGGAGCTGCACTGCAGTTACTCTGTACGCGGTCAACCTGATTTCCGATTCAAAATCGACCATGGTGACAGAAAAAGTCATAAGACAAATTGCATATCAGATCAGTGAGAATATATAGATATTTTCTCTGAGAGGAAATACATAAATAAACACAAATAATAGTCAACTAAAGTCTACAACCAAAATCATAAAAAAAATATTTTATGTTATTTTTAGTCGCTTTTTATTTGACCTTGTATATATTAATTTGCTTCTTTACAAGGAGGAAGTCCGGCCTGGTTTCAATTTTTCATGAAATTCGTCGCGAGCTTTAGATGTTCAGTTTCAATCTTGCAGAGTAGCAGTAGAGTTTGAGAAACAATGAAAAAACTTGTTGTGAACGTGAAAGTTTAGTTTGAATTTTTTAATAAATAAAAGGTATTTTTAATAATATAGTAAAATAACCTTTGGCAAAAATCATACATTTTTTTTCTCTAAATGATTAAATTTTGCAGGAAGAATGCCATTTTGCTACCCTAACTTTGCTTATCACTATGCCATGCAGAGTTTATTATGTTTGACTTCACCAATCAGGCATAAAAATCGACTTGTTCGCGTCATTCACTTTAAAGGTGACGAGCAAAGTTTGAGGAATCCGGCGGCGTCACCGTAAATATGCAAACTTAATGACCGACGAAGCCTTGCTCACGATAAATATCGCGCGCTCAGTCGTAAAATTCGGCGCTGCTTGTGCGCGCGAACGCAATTAATTTCACGTCTTGTATAATTAACAGATAAGCTGAGCGGCGAACGCGCGCCTGCAGAGTTATGGCCGCCGGCAACGACTTTTTTACTACTTTATCGGAAAATTGGCTGCAAAAAGTGCGGCGGTGCCAAAAAGCAGCGCAAACGGGCACAACGCCTATCAGCTGCTTTTTTATTTCTGCCGTCGCCACATGTCATTGAGCATCGCCTCACATTACGCCTCTTTTAATTTCACGCTTCGTGCGCTCTGAGCCTGTCATTTTCATAGATTTAATGCGAATACCAGAAAATGTTTGCCCCTGATTCATAGTGGACATAGTTTTGGTATTTTCTAATATAAAATTAATTAACTGAAGTAGAGTGCATACTTTAAAAAAATTTTAGTTTTAGACAATATAAATTAAGTGAATACATTTCCACGGCATCTTTAATGGAGTTTGTGCTTCGAAATTTCACTGAAAAATGTGAAAACTACCTAAAACTTTATATACTATATAATATAGGTTATTTAGAATAATAATAAAAATAGGCAAAATTATTTAAAAATATTATGTTTTAAGTTTAAGATATTTAATTTTTAAAGATAATAAATTGTATTGATTTTAATTTCATTCTTTATTTTATTGTGCAATATTAATTATGTAATATCATATTATGCAGATTATTAACATAATTCTGAAAATCCAAGAATCCTATCAATCAATGTAAATTAAACACCAAAGATTTTTTTTTTGTAATTTGTGAAGTTATAAATTTTTTTATTTTAAGAAAGTAAAAATTTGTAAACTTAACAAACACATATTTATTATTGGGAAAAAAACACATTGATCATGTTCCCTATGATGACAAGGGCAACTAATCACCCCAGGCTGCGAGTTACTAGTCCTTTGAAAGGACAAACGACGGACACAACAAGGCAGAGGGAAATTGGAGCCGAAATAAAGCGCGCCCTGATTGGGTTGTTACGTGATTGCCGGCCGTCGCCGCTGCTCTTTTATTGACCTGCAAAACTTTTAAAACTCCCCCAGTGGTCCACTCGCTATTTCGATATGTGAACAGAGTCGTACGCGCGCGTGTGTGCGTCAACTTGATTGAGTGAAAAGAGAAAAGACCAAAGTGAAAAGGCAAACTTTTGAGATTATTTTCGGTCGAGAAAATCAATCAGAGACTCCATAAAATAAATATCAGCAAAATCTTAACAGTTTGAACAAATTCTTAAAAGTTTGAAAAGTTTTCAAAAATGCCTAAAATTTTGCAAAGTTAAGTATAATTTAGCTGGTAGCCCAAAAATGTACAAGTAATAAATATTAAATGACAAAAAATTGCTCATTTATTTAATTTTTAATTTTTCCATTTTTTCCTATAAAAAATTTTTCCTTTGTAATTCTTTATTTTCTGGCGTTCGCTTAGTGTGAGACGAAAGCTTGACTTCGAGGGTGGTTAAAAAAAATAAACTGGAAAAAATTCAAATTCACCCCTTTGCAGCCCCTGCTCGGCAGGAAAAGAAGGAAGTGAAAAACTGCGGAAACATGCAGCCCCTAATTTGAATAAATTACTTGGTGACTCCGGCCGGCCCTTATTACGTCAGACACAAATCAAAATGTGAGGTGCGTAATGGGGGTTAATTAAAGCGGGCGTGTATCGCGCGGCTGCATACACACAAGGGGCCGCACGGCCTCTCTCTCTCTCTCATTAGGCTCGTTGGTATTCTAGGGAGGCGCGCAGTGCGAGACGAACGCAGCAGGATGATTGATGCGTGGCAATCAGAAAAGGTCAAATCCCCGACCGGTGGCGCTGCTGCTCGGTCGAATTTACTTACTTAGGTGGCCATTACGGAGGCTCTAATCCGGATATTGGACGGGCGCGCAATTGACACTCCGGCCCCGGTAATCCGATCACAATAACTCTTCTGGCAAAAGTAGCCGACTCGGCACAGCCCAGATAGAGAACTACTAACCCCTGGCCAATATTATCATTTCCCCGTCTCGGTGTTATCGCTCCGGCATCTCTCCTGCAGGCCGAGCTGTTTTTAATTAAAGATAAGGAGCGCGCCAATTTCCGCAGTTCGTCTCATTCTCTTTGGCCAAAATGGAACGAGCCTTGAATTTATATGTGTTTCGTCTGGTCTTTTAAACGGCCAATTTCACCCAGTTTTATCTCCGGAGAGAACCGGTTAAGCCTCCATGGTTACTTTTTTCTCTCACTTGGCGACGGAAAACGACCAGAGCGTGAACGGAAATTTTCGTTCAAATCACAAGAAAAAAGAGCTCCACCTCCATTTCCCGAGACGTTTTTCTCTCTCGCCAGGTATTGATTCGTCACTCGATTTTAATAGAGGCAATTTTCTTCCAATATCATTCACTTTATTTTCTGGAACACGTTTATTGGCACTTCATGTTTTATTTACAAAGGAGAACTCAGTTAGCGGCTCAGGTAATGATTTCAAATCGGCTCGAATTTGCATAGAAGACTAGAGCAAAATCTATTTTTCGTTCTTCTGTTATTGATAGAAAGCATTTGCATGCCGTTTTATCTCTGCTGTCTTTTTCACAGATTAATGCAAAAAGACTTTTAAACTCTATTGATAACATTCACAAATGGATTTCAGGAAAAGAAAATCTTCATCTGCAATTCTGTTGAAAATCTGTTTATTTTGCAAGTTAAAATTAATATTAAAGTGGTTTCTCTGCATAAAAATTCACTGCTCATGGCTGATAAAAGTGGCGCAAAAATAACAATAGAAGCGTTTGCGTGCGAATGATTAATTAAATCCGGGCGCGGCAAATCTCTCGTGTAAATAGTAGTCTGTCAAGTTTTAAAAACAAAGTAAATAAATCTAATGCATTATTCTGGCGGCGGCGGCGGCGCGTAAGCCGCTTACTCTCTCTCTCTCAGTCAGCAAAGGAGCGCTCGGCATTCTGCTGATTGATTCAGCATCACAATCGCAGCCAGCTCACACACACACATTTCACTCGGCGCTCACATGTACACGCTCCTAATCTCTCTTCTCTCCGTATAAGCCCGTCATAATCCGCTGCACTAACTTGGCAGTTAGTGCCGACGAGTGAGAGAGATGAGTTGGGAAAGAGCGAACCAAAAAGACAGAACTTCCTATTCCCGAGGAAATTTGCACAGGGTGTCGATATTTCTATGTGCACATTGCAGGGAGTGCAAAACATTAAAATTGTAGCGCACTTACAATTAATATCATAGTTTTGAATTTTGCATGGCAATTCGAACGCTGTGTTTTTTGGAGAAAAGTTTTGAAGCAATCACCTTCAATAAGTTATTCAATTTTTAAAATAAATTATATTGCAGTCAGTTTATTTTTTTATAAAATTTGGATCCCGTGAATTTTTTTAATTTTTACAATGATGCCTTATAACATTATTGTTACAGATATATACATAAAATATTGCTTCAATATTTTTTCATTGAATTAAATTTTAATCTTCAATTCTATTCTCTCTCAAATACAATTAAAAGTTAGCTATACCACCCTCAGGCTAACGGAATACCCATTACTAATAATAATCTTAATACACATTAATTATTCTGTGTACAAAATTTAATTTGTTTTAATATCTATAAAATCTATGTTAATTTAACTTTTATAG